ATTCCATTGTGATAGCATGCCCTAATTCAGAACTACGAACGATCCATGACGATCCTTCGCGATGCAGTGGTTCTCATGAAATAAGGAAACGTATTCGTGCTGGGAACACATGCGGATTTCGGACGAATAAGTCTTGCTTTTATTTTGTAGATAATAATACTTTGTTTCATAATAAACGATTTGTCAAGTGCCATTTATTTACTGGTAATAGTGCATGTTTCAGTCGGGCAAATCTTGATTAATATTTGATACGCCGTTTTTCCATATTTCAGACACATCCAGAAATATGCTCCCGATTTTAAACATTAATATCTCTGTGAATTTTTAAGTGAAATACAACTGTGATATATCAAAATCTAAGTTAGTCCTTCCTCTATTTGATGCAAGTTAATTCTCATTAAAAGCTTTACTTGTTTAGAAGTTATCACGAATCAAACCGGAGTACTTTTTTTGGGGACACCCGGTAGCCCCCCCCCAACCCACCCCCAATTAATGCGTCTAGGTACGGCCCTGGGCATAATATAGACATTATAGATACTGCATCTGGTTCTTCATCGTTTGTACCACTCATGGACAATTCCCGGCATGTGTATATGCCTGACGCTCTGGACTACTTTATTACTCTAGATCTTTTCATAATTATAGCATACATAAATTAAAGTATTACTCATCTGTGATTGGTTGATTTCAGTGCAATTAATCCCAAACAGCAATGCTAAAATCCGTAATCACAGTGAAATTTTCTGTAATCATCATGAACCAATCAAAATTGAGCTAAGTTTTAGCGGGAAAATATTCTTTTTTCAAAACAAACATGGCCGCATTTAGCGGTGCGGAAAGATTCCCGCAGTTGGAAGTAAGTTCAATTGAAGAACTGCGAAATATTGCAAAAAGTATAAATACTAAGAGAAACACAATCTTTTGGCTTGCGGTTTTTAAATCCTGGGCAAAGGAGCGAGGTTAATTTTTCTGAGGCCATTAAAATGTACGAGGCGTACGACTTAGACAAAATATCTAAAGAAATCATTTTATGTGAATTATTAACAAGTAATAGCATGGCTTCTAGTGAAATTTGGATAAACTTGCACTCGTGAGTTTTTCAAAGACCTCAAATAGCACTCGTGCTTCGGACTCGTGCTATTTTGAGGTCTTTGAAAAACTCACTCATGCATGTTATATCCAAATTGCACTCGAAACCATGCTATTAAAGTACCGCTGCTAAACACCTTGCATATCATATTTTTCAGGTCGGTCGACTTGTAAGATTCATTGGATTGGTAAAAAAGGTTGTTACACAACTATATACATCTCTGAAGTTTGTTACTTCTGGAGCTCTCCTTGTTATGTTTTGGGTGAAAATTAGTCAAGCAACAGCGAAAGGGGACCTTCAAAAATTTTCACCTTGGATGGTTGTGGCTGTAACAGCTCTTGGTGCAGCTGTGATTACGTCATTTCTTGTTTTTACCTTCATATTTGCTTCTCTACTACGGCTACCTAAGAAGTCAAAACTGGCTGTTACAGTACTTTCATCGGCAAGAAATTCTAGCATAGCAATTACTGTTATTGAGAATTTACCAGACAGTGTTGGGGACAAAGATCTTATGTTTTTCCCCATAGTATTTGTATATTTAGCTATGGTTGTTATTATCAATAGTTTTGGTTATTTTATGACAATCAAGAAAGATGAAAATGACATTGAAGACAAACCACTAAATAATAATCGAGAAAATAAACTCACGAAAGACAATCGTCACATTTTGCTGTTGCTGAAGCCTTCGCAGTCAAAATCTGTTGATAGTGCAGACAAACAGATTTTAGTTGAAAATCCGTTGGAACAGATAACATCACATGACATACAAAGTACAGTGGACCACATCACGTCACGAACAGTACAGTGGTGTACGGCTGTGTAAAGTTGATCTTGCGACTTTACTACGATCGAGTACGAGATCTACCTGCACGGCGCCTGTCACACTATCTACTGTATTTACAGTACACTTACAGTATATATATAAGCAGTTAAAATATGTGTTACAGCATGGGTAAACATCGGGATGTGGGGCATCTCACACGATGTAACTAGTAAATGTTGAAGGGATTTTTAGATGGAAATTTCGAGTGGAATTTTTATGCATTTATTAGACCTATAAACCAGGAACAGTTGCGAAAAATGCAACTATCGGCCCTCGGGCAGGAATCGAACATGCGATTCCGCTTTAACCAGCAAACAAAGAGGAATGACAACAAAGGGATGCCAGATTCTCTTGTCCAACCCCGTGAAATGAATATAACTGTGACGGTACCTCCAACCGCAAATTTGAAGACCAGTCCCGGTATTTTCAAGCGTGAGAAGTGCGCGTTACGTCAATCAGCCAACATAAATATGCATTCTAGAAAATCTTCAAAAAAAAGCTTTTTAGCAACAATCAAAGCTTTCTATTAATGCATTTATTCAGGTAAAACTTCGAAGGAGTATTTTCTCACGGTAAAGTGTGCCGGATAGGTTCTCTTGGTGACTTTCGGCTTTGAATGTTTTGTGATATTTCGTTTTTCTCACTGATTTATTCATAGATATCTTATATAGGCTACATTAGATAGCGCATCTCTTTCAGTAAAATTGAAGCCAAGAATATTCCAGCGGTTACCCACATTTGAATAGATGGCGGCCATGTTGGAGTTTTCCACTCGCTAATAAACGCTTAAAAAACAACAATAACTTTCATCATTTGAATAGTTTGAAAATGTATTTGGGATAGGTTTTAAATAACTTAATGTTTAAGTTCCCTGTTTAAGAAATAGAAAACATACGAGTCTTCTTATTCCATGGGAATATCTTGAGTCTGCAATCACGGCTTCAATTTTTGAATTGCAGAATAATTAGATGTACTATCTAGTGCATATAAGATATCTATAGATTTATTCTATTTATCAAGCCAATTTCGTGAAAGTAAACTGATGTACACGGTACATGTATTAAAACGTACAGCAATTATTTTAAAAATAATATAGCCGTAGTTATTAAATATTATATTTAAAGACGAAATAATTGAAAAAATATTAACAATTTATTTTTTTATTTGTGCGTGCCTAGTGATATTTTTTATTTCCTGCAATCTGATTGGCTACAGCAGCGGGCAGCTGAAATCGAGGAGTGAAGACAATTTTCAAACTGAAAACACTACCCAAAAAGTTTAAAAATCCACCCTATCGTTACTAAAGACAGTAAAATACAGTGAATTGCATGGCTTCAGTAGACTTAGGGCGAAGCCTGAAATGTAATTTTCTCCTACCAAACTGCGTATAAATAAATATAAACATCGAAAAACACTGGCCAGTGCTACATGTTTTGATTCAAATGTTCCACATATATTCAACTAAATTTTGAAAATTTTAAAGGTGATCTACAGTCCGTATGTAAACAAAGCCTTTGTTTACATTTTTGTGTCCAAAATATTGAGCTTTATTCGACAACTATTTATATTTTCAAGTTTCTAGAGTATAATAAATGATCTAGAAACAACAATCAGGCTTTTCAAGAACTCAAAACATAATTAAACTGTTTGTATCATAAAAAGTGGGCTCATTTGTGCACATGCGCAGATCGGACTGTAGATCACCTTTAAGTCTCTAGATCTTTGGAAATGGCATTTTCAGAGTCTTCTTTACCTCTTGGGTATTATTATTTGTGAGTCTATGCTATCCCCCCCCCCCCCATTTACTTGCTAAGTCGAACAAATTTAATTTATATTATAATTGTTTCATATATACTTTAGGCCTACTCTGGGGCGGTAACTCGCCTAAACTTGCCGGCCGCGAGATAATGCCGGGTTAAGCGATTTTAGGCGATTTAAGCAAAAACTGCGACTTTTAAGCAATGGGAGTTGATTTAAGACAAAATTTAAAATTTTAGGGAATGCAGTTTTAGGTGTTTCAAGATAATTTCAGAAATGTACAACTATATCCCTGATGACTCCATTAACCCATGCCAAATTTGCCAATCAGCTAAACATGCATGTTTCGATCCGCACACACACACACACACACACACACACACACACACACACACACACACACACACACACACACACACACACACACACACACAC